AAATCAAAATATGGATATCTAATCTCACAAAATAAAACAGCTCTTTACTATTTACTGTTTTTTTCTATTTACTGCAGTTATCATAAAATATGCATGCATACCTTATTAGTGGATGCAATTCATTGACAACAATGTATACTGGCCATACACTGAAAGATGAAGAGCGAAACAGGGAGACCCCATCTGTGTTTATTTGGAGCGAGATATGAAGTTCTTTGTTTTTGTTTTTTGCACCTGATCTAAAAAAATGATCTTCCCCAAAGTGTTTTTTATAAAGCTGCCCATCCATGACATCTTCAATGTTATCATCCACTTGTTTCTTTCTAGTCTGGCGATAGCTCTTGACACTCTCACAGAATTTTTTATCTAAAAAAATACAATTGCAATAAATTTTATAGTTTTAAACCATTACTAAAATATTCATTACACTTTTAAGAGCTAATAATAATATACTGTTTTATAAACCTCAATAGCCCATTTTTAACAAACAATCTAATAAATGTACATGTATCAATATAACAAGCTTGGAAATTATGCATTTTCTTGCAATTTTTATAATTTCTTCAGCAAACAAACAAAAACCAATACTAACCTTGGAACAAATTTTGCAATTGATACAGTATTGGCACCACAACAAAATACATAATCTTCTCTTTTCCAGTCAAAGATCCATGACAATTAGGGCACACTTCTAATTTTGTCCTTCCTAGGTAAGACTTGCACTTCTTGTAATTGCAGTAGTAGTGGCACTCTATTGGTGCTCTCAACTTTCTGAAGAACTTATTAAACAAATCCACACTTTTCCGACACAAATTGGGTGAAATACAGTGTAATTCCAATAAAATAAGCAAGTCTGTCAGTGCTGCGCCAGTTAATCCATGTCTTATCACAAACGTAATAATCAACAGCATGCTAGAAGCTAGTGTCAATCTTGCACCAGGATAGAGGGGCTTGTTTTCATCACTTTCTTCTTCGTCAAGAGGAAAACCTGCAATACAAGATATGTATTTGAAAAAAACATGTGCATACCCTTGTAAATATTCAATGGAGCACATGGATGAAATAGCTCAACTTCTATTAAAGTAAAACATTCTAAGAATAAAAGTACACCAGTTAGCCAAACCCATGCACCAAACTCTACCCAGAGAAATAGTGGGGGGTTTGTAATAGTGATTAAGATGTTTAATACTAATGTCCAAAGATAGCACAAGCTTATGATCAGTAGATCATGAAACTGATTTGTATCAATTCTAAAATTCTAAAAAAAGATAAAATAATATAAATAATATACAACATTTCTGCAATTAGTTTTTGATATTATTGTAGAGTCAACACACTTGTAGAGTCAATGCACTTGCACAGTGAAACCAAAATCAAAGAGGTAGTAACTGTTAGTTTTTGTTTACTGATTTATAGTACTAGTACATTCAACAAAATAATACTTTTTAATATTGGTCGAGGAGTACAATTACAGCATTAATTGTACTTCTTATAAAATTCTGTTTCACTGAATGAACTATAAACAAAAAATCACACAACCTCTCGTACAATTAATAGTTAATAGTCACAATCGTGCAATTACAAAGAACTTTCAAAACATTACTCATCACAATTAATTCCAAATTGTACTCAAGGTCGTGYGATTTCCTATACTAATTGTATGAAATAGTAGATATCACTGAACCAGAACAATTCATGAAAACAAAAGGTAATACACAAGAGATTTGGAAGCTGCACAAAGTTATAAAAGCTATCTAATGAGGAAGGAGGAATTATAGTTTGATAAAAAATGTCCCACCCACAAGGAAAGAAATAAAGAGCTATATATTAGTTCTTTCTAGTTCTTTCTTCAATGCAAAGSAAAGATGTCAGGACAGGCTAGAACTTGTGTTAAATGTATGCTTYGCAAGTCAAGTTTATTAAAAGGGCATAAAAAGTCACACTATGTGTTTAACAATTCACAGGCAGTTTTCTATTGTCTGTACATCTCCTATTGACAATGAAATAGACATAAAAACTCAAGTGGAATGCCACTAGCTTAAGCAAATGGTTGTCACTGCAGAGGTTTGAGCAATTTTCTGAATWGTTCATGAATTGTTCTAGTCTCTAGGAGGGACTGCAGGAAGCCCGACAAAAGGGTAGGCTGCAAAGGAGACTAGAATTGTTCTGGTTCAGTGATAACTACTATAAGTCAGTAAATAGAAACTAACAATTACTGCTTGTTTTAATCATATTTCACGGTACAAGTGTGTTGACTCTAATAGAGAAATAAAGACAATACGTTTCTTGATAATAAT